TTGAGATGGTCATTTAGCATGTTGCAGTGCGGACAAGTTTTTAAACATTGGATAGGCGTGCCCTTATATTCCTTATAACAAAATTTGATTAAGTTCCTATTGACTTAACTACCTAACTTGGCTCAGATTGTTTTCTTAGATGCATTATAAATGTAAGTATGTAACACTAGTTATCGTATCCGGTTCAGTTGTATTGATTAATTATGTCTTCCATCGCAAATTATGTCACTAAACATTCATTTTTAGCGACGTATTAGTTGTCCGTCTCTAATTCTGTCACTAAACATACATGCTTAAAGACAATATATATCCGGCAAAATTATGGTAAAACCACTTAAAAGAGGCTGAATCATTGTTCTACTACACTTGTTTAGTATCTCATTAATCGGAATTACTGGGTTGAAGAGAGACATAATTACGTGTTCGGATAATCCAAAATAAATGTCGAAAATCTTGGCTATATTCTCAAATCTTGATTGCATCATTTATCACCTCACGTATAACAGATTGCAAGAAACTCCGGATGGTAGTGAAAATTCAATCTAAGGGGACTACGAGAACCGAAGCAATGTGTTATGTCCAAATACTCGGAAGTCAAAAAAGCAAGTATAGCAGCGAATTCTCGAATAAAAGTTCAATTGTACTCGGAGGTTCACAAATAAAATTAGGGCAAATTACGGCCACTTCCCTGAGGTGTGGCCAAATTATGAAAAACCTGGCCTCTTTTTTGAGTAATTACACCCACCCTCTCCTTCTAAATATTTCAAGTTGTCATTTGGTCGATAAATGCATCTAGCATTTTACATATTAAAATTGTTGCAAATGAATTCTTTTTTCTTTTGTGTTTAAATATTTCCATGCACAAATTTAGATGAGACAAAGATCATTTCATATAAGTCACGCCGTTATACAATAACCGGCTTCTTATCTCCCCCTTAACGGCGGGAATATTGTCTCATTAAAATGGCAATTGATAATGTATGCCATAAAAGTATCTCACATTAGGAGTGCAAAATATTGCATAGCATAAATAATAAACAAACCACATGATATCATGTTATGTGGCTGAATATAACTTCGTTTGAGAATCTATCAGATTCAGAACTTCAGAACATAAATGGTCAAATTTCAAAACTTTGAAAATTCTTGGACCAAACTGTAAATTTTGAAAATTTAGGGACCAAACTGTAAATTTGTAAAAATTCAGGATCAAAGCTGCAATTTTAAAAAATCAGTGAAAACTGAAAATTTTGAAATATATTCATAATTGCGGATGATGAATGGAACGAGCTGCATATTCTGAAAAATATTTGGACTAAATTGTAAAATCTTCAAATCTAGGGGACTAAAATGATTTTTTTTTTAATTTGAAGGAGTAAACTGTAAATTTCAAAAATTCAGAATATGCATAGGATTTTGAATTTCAACAAGAAAATCAGATCCTTTTTTTTTTTACCCGTTTGGTTTGAAATTCCATCTTATCTAGACCAATAAAAAAAAGGGTTTTTTTGTGATAACGTCCCCAACCAAGCATGTTTATTATTCTAGGTATAGGGGATATATCTCTTTCACCAATAAGCACATCCTTTAATATCTTATATATAAAAGAAAGAAACGATGGGCAACCCTAAAAAATCTTAATGGTATCGATGTAATTAAATATTTTTAATATTTTTTTCTCTACTAATTTCTAACTATAATTTTTAACAATTATCAAAATTAAAACTAAATCCCGAAGAATCCTATCTAATGGTACTTTTGTAACTATTTATTTTTAATATTTTTCGTCTACTAATTTTTTAACTATAATTTTCAACAATTATCAATCTCATATTTTTCATCAATATATCTCAAATCTTAAGAGATAAAGATAGAAATTTGATCTATATATTTGGATTATAAATCTAAATATGTCAGATTTAAAAAAACTAATAAAATTAATGTTATATAAAATATAAATAATACTACATTATTAAATTTTATTATATTAGTATACTATATTTTCTTATTATGCATTAAACTGGTAATTTTTTTTTCACTTTTGAAATAATATCCCGTGCATCGCACGGGGAAAAAATGCTAGTTTATTATAAATAAAAGAAACACTCTTGTATATCCCAATATTACCCTTTACCATTTATACTCAATTCTTAATTGTAACCTTCAATTTTGTCCACAAAAATCCAATTTTGACCCAAAATTTCACAAATTATTCAATTTTGACCTAAATTTTTTTTTCCACAAACATTTTTTTTTCAAAAAAAAAAATTACTGCCGGATTCCGGCGTTGACTTTTCTTTTTTTTTTTCTATCGGGTTTTTTCGTCGGTTTTCGGCATTGACCGGCGTTGACTTTTTTTTTTTTTTTTTTTTTGCTTTTCTCTTTTCTTTTCTTTTGGATTTTTTCGCCGATTTCCGGCGTTGACTTTTTTTAGTGTTTTTTTTTTGTTTGTTTTTTTTTTACGTCCGCAGCTAAACGTTGACCGTAATTGTGCTGTCACTGACAGTAAATTAACGTAATTATACTATCAATGACAGTACATTGACATAATTGTACTGTCGTTGACAATACATTTATGTAATTGTGCTGCCGTTGATAGTAAATTAATGTAATATTATTATTATTATTATTATTTTTTTGTTTGATTGGTTGACAAGTCAACGTAATTATATTACTGTCGTTGACAGTAAAATAACTGTAAACACAATAATATTACTGTCAACAACATCAATATTATTATTTTTTTGGGTTTTTTTGTTTTTTTAAAGTTATTCACGGAGTAACGTAATAATATTACTGTCTATTATTGTAATATTACTGTAAACACAATAATATTATTGTGGTTGACAGTAATATTACTGTTGTTATAGTAATATTGCAGTCAACCACATCAATATTATTATTTTGTTAGGATTTTTTGTTTGTTTGTGATATTCATGGAGTAACGTAATAATATTACTGTCGATTATTGTAATATTACTGTGGTTGACGGTAATATTATGTTGTTATAGTAATATTACTGTCACTCACAGTAATATTAATTCTTTTGGTTTTTTATTATTTTTACATTTGTTGACCGGTCAACATAGTAATATTACTCTATTACACAATAATAATGAGTTTTGTTGTGTTAATATTACTGTGCTATAGATTAATATAGCAATATTACGTGTTAAACAGTAGTTTAGTTTAATTTTATTGTGTTTAACAGTAATATAGTTAATATTACTGACAATCACAACAATATTGTTGTTTAAACGAAAAAAAAAGGTTACAGAAAGAAAAAAAAATATCGAAAAAGTCAACGCCGGAGACCGGCGTTGACCGCCGGAATCCGGCGAAAAAATCCGGAAGAAAGAAAAAAAAATGAAAAGTCAACGCCGGAATACGGCGGGAAAAAAAAAATTGAAAAAAAAAATTTTAGGTCAAAATTGAATAATTTGTGAAATTTGGGGTCAAATTGAGGTTAAATAAAGTTACGGATGAAATTGGAGCATATTTAAGTATGAGGGGTTATTTTAGTCCTTTACAAAAATCTGGACCATGTGTGGACTTATTGGTAAAAGAGTTTTTTGTCTCGATCTCTTTATAAATAAGTACCCATTGATGGGCTTATTTGTAAAGACCCCTAAAAAAAATACATATACATATCTCTATAGATATGGATTTGGAGTGAAATTTACATCACTAAAATTTTGTGATTCAAACTCTTTAATTGAATTGGTCAATATTGTGACACCAAAATCAACGCAATTTATTTTGCTCTTCTATTGGTGCTTGATAAAGCTTATCAACATGTTTTATCATAAATTAAAATGGATATGACCAATCATTTTTCATATTTCTCATCTCTCTTCCACTTGTAATGATGAGATAAAATTTATAGTAAATAAGCTTTAGCACCATGATAGTTTTTCATGTCAACATATCTCTTTGAATTTTTTAATATTGTTGTTTTCACTTTCAAAGAATAACAACAAAATTGAACGAGCTTTGTATCATTTCAATTTTAGCTCAGAACTCTTGCTCTATTACAATATGCAATCAAATTTCTTGATTTTGCTATTATGAGTGCAACTTGAGTTTTTATGTTGACATTTCATGATCATAATATAGATCTATAAATTAGAGAATATTTCCTCTTACAATTCTTCATTATATGTATATATCTTCAAGACACATATATCAGTATGAAATATTTTACTTGTCGTTTGCAAAACAACAAGTCAAGATTTAAAGAGAGCAAATTATAGAGAGGATCAAATATCTATCTCTCTTCTTCTTCATAAGTAACTAGATGTAATGTTACTTTTACTTATGTGTTCAAGACACATACCCCAAATTAAGTACTCGTTGCTTGAAACATGAAACAATAATATTTTGCTCGGTGTATTCTAGACACATTTTCATTGTGAAATATTTGACTTGTGTCCTCAAGGCACATAACAATAACACAAATATTTTGTGATATCATGGGACATAAATCGATCTTTAACTTCAATATCCAACGCTCATAGTTACATTTTTTCTTGAGCTATCAAAAATAATTTTGAATTGTGCAATATATCTCAAATCATTGAATTACAAAGGAATAATCCTTTCGAGTATATATATATATATATATATATATATATATATATATATATATATATATATATATATATATATATATAT